TACTTGTGTTTATGGCTTATTGTACGCAAAAATATAAAAAGATAAATCACCAAGAAAAATATTTTCGAAGATATTTAATAACTATTTTTGAGCTAATGCATAGCTTTTATCGCGGGCCTTGAGCGCGGCGACCGAATCATGAAATTCCGTAACGAAAAAAACCTAACATCCCTCACTCCGCCTACCATGTAGCTCGCGTTCAACACATTCACACGTTGCGCTTGTGTAGTGTTTGTGAATAAGCGCGAGGCGTGACGTCACACTGCATGCGCATCATGAAAATTCTGCCCATCTTTCTCTCGCGCGGTCTAGCTTATGAGTGTGAAGGGGACAGCTAATGTTTTTCTTTTATAAATGTTTAATATAGCGTGGTCTTGTTTTATTATTGTTTTAATAATAAATTATCATTGTCTAATTATAATTGCATAAGTTGATAATAAATGCTATGCAATAGCTTTACCGCGGCAGTTCCCGAGTGCCACACGTTTGTTTTTTTTACTTAATTATTTATCCATCATTATAAAATATACAGGGCAACATCAACTAATGCAAAATTAAATGAAACACAGTAAAAATATTATGTCACATTGCTAAATCGATCACTGTCAAACAGCGAGTGGAGGAAAAAAAAAAATAATTGATTGTAAATTCAAAACAGGTCGTTTGTTTTTTAATCATTCGAGTTTTAAGCAAAAGTGGATTGAGACTTGAATAAAATGAACATAACGTGTGTTTGTAGACGAATGACATTTTTTTAAATATTTTTGAGTATTTTAATTCATTACTGACACGTTCAATAAAATAATTTTTATTTATTTATTTAATTTGGTGTAACAAACCTTAGTCATTTCGGGTATTTTCGTTTTCATAAGGTCTAACCCAGAACTATTAAACTATGGTATAAAACATTTATAGGAGTTTTAATTTAATTGTTTCAATTGTTTATTCTTTTTTATTTCCCGAGCAGGCAAACGAGTATACGGCCCACTTGATGGTAAGTTGTTACCGTTACTCATGGACGTCAGCAATGGCAGGGGCAGAGCCAAGCCGCTGCCTACCGGGCCAAGCCGCTGCCTACCTTGATCTTAGATCTGTCTTGGTATATAATGTCGTTCAGTACATAATATCTGGGGCTTGTTATTAAATTATTTTGAGATTAAGGTTTTAGAAGCGCACAAAGGTCCCGGACTGAATTTAAAGTCTTAAATATTCTTTGATCTTTATTCATTTTTGTTTTGAGATCTAAAGTATATAGATGATATAATGAGCATTGTTTTATGTAATAGATTTTGTGTTGTTTTCGAAAACGATATAAGTTTGAATCTTGATATTCATTTCAGCCATCAGTAAAATTTAATTCAGTGCTTATTGGATATTTTATTACGCGAAAAATTGTAGACAAAGTAATACCTAGTTGTAAATCATGAGGGAGTAATATTATTGCGTTAAGAATTGGCAAGAAACTCATGAATATTGAATCGAGATAGCTTAGTGATTGACTAAGCTCGTGGGAAATTTATAATTACTGCATATTCTTTGTATCCGTGATATTATGTAGACGTAACTGGGTTTGTTTCACAATTTAAAACAATGGATTTATGCATGCGTTTATATTCCAGTAAAAAGATCAAAAAATGCAGTTCAGTTTTGGTGTGAATTTCACAAGTTTTTATATAGAATTACTCGGATTATTGATGAAAACAATTCGGATTTCGCAATTTGTTTTAATAATTTGTGAATCTATCTATTTTGGTCTGTGCAAAAAATACACCTTAATTTTAATTAGCACATTAATTAAAGACGTTATCTGACTTATAACATCTTAAAAATATCCGAGCGATTCATGGTTATAATCTGAATAACACAGACGGAAAGAGCACATTTGTTAATAGCAATTTCTTGATAATCCTCCTCCTCAAATCGTTTCATCATTAACGAGGATTGTGGCTTCGACATAAGAGTTGCAGTAAATTCCTTCACTTGCTACGATGTTTGGCCTGGAGAGCTTGAAACCAATTGGCATTTTGACTTCGGCCACTTGGTCTGACCAATGTCTTCTTCTTCCCCGAGGTCTTTTGCCGTCTATATAACTAGTACTTCTGTACTTTTCCAGATTATCTGCACTTCGGCGCGCTTTGCTGTCGTAGTACCAAGGTTGTGGCGATTGAAAACTTGAGTTGTCTTAGAATGCATACCTTAGTATTTCAAGCCATTTAGGAGATGCCAAGCAGCCAATGCCTTATCGTATTACCGACAGCATTTTCATAATGTGGCGGTATTATGTAAAATTCAATTCGTTAACATTCCAGACTCTTTGTTTTTGCGGTCAAGTCGCGCAGAACCTGTTTTCAAGGTTGAATAATAGAGTATTTGTATATAATTGGAGAATCCAGAGGACGGCAGTGATTTATTGCAGCAGACGATTTATTGTTACTTCACCAGTTTCTATAGAAGCATGCTTGTGAAAATCTGAACTTAGTTTCACGTAACAGCAGTAACTGGGTTAAGATAGAATTGTTTCGACACGAGCCGCGCCCGACGGCGAGCCTTATCGAACGGTAACTGTACACCGTTACTCCGGCTTATTGTCGTCGATAATTCTTCGCAGTTGACCATTAAGTACTTTTAGTGAATTATATTATGTGCAACATGTTTTATTCTTTGTGACTTATAACTGCTATATTCACATACATTAATGTATGTTTTGACTTTTTTAGGGTCGCGTAACCCTACCGATATATATAACAACCGATACCAATAATATTGTATCACACATTGTATCTTCTTAAAATTATAAGCAACGATGGGATTGCACTACGTCACGAGTTGTTGCCGCCGATGTTTGATTTCTGCAAGTTATCTTGCAATATTGCATAATCAGGCGGTGGTGATGCGTAAGAGAGGAGGTTCTTCTCTATCAGCACCAACCTGTTGCCATGAGCTGGGGACCAGGATGGGTTTCTCGTTTCAATCCTGGTCCTTTAAGTATATTAGGTCCATATGTTGCTCTGGGCACCTGTGAGGGGGACTCAAGAAGATGACGTTTGATACGCGGTTCACGAAAGAGCAACTGGATGGCGGATGACCACACTGCCCATCGAGGTATCCCGGGGCGTCTGTGAGTGACGAGATTTGTATCGCTCATCGACTGAGAGACTTAGTGGCGCCAACAACCGTCTTTTAGTGTCCGTTAGAAGCAGAGTAGTGGAGAAACATGTACTCTGCGTGAAAAGAGTGGTCTTGCTTCCAGCCTTTTTTTTTCGGTCTGATGGCCGCACGTCCTTCTACTCCTAGCCTGCCTCTGATGAGTTCTGTTTTATCGAAGGCTCGGACGCGAGTTTTTGCGCGACAGGAGGTTCAAGTCTGTTCAAATCGCCTCCCATCCCCCTCTCAACGCAGGAGTCCGGCTATTTCCTCCCGCCTAAAAAGGGGGCTTGCTAACGGATAATAGCAGTAAATTTGAATGTAATTGTTGACTTAAATCGCATACCCCTATAATTAATAGTCGGATAGACTATGCATCATGTAAAATACCGTGAACAATAATTTGTTCTGAATAATTTTCAACTTAATGTATTTATTTTATACACGTTGTTCGTTGCGAATATTTACGCAAGTAAGAGGTGTAAATGTGTGTGTGGAAAGGTGCTCGTATGCTTATCTTTACATATTAAATTATCGTATTGCCAGAATTCTGTCGGAAAGTGGGTAGTTGTGATATAATAGTGACAGAATTATTTCACAATGAATCCTAGATTCGGCTGTTGTAGAAGTTGTAAAATTATGTCTTCCGATCTTCGGGTGATCGACAACGAATAAACTAATTGCTGGACTCTTGTGTTTTTAGACTTACATGAGACCATCCATTTTTCAGAAATAAGAAAACAAAAAAAAATTAAGTTAATAACTTATCCTAAGCTTTATGACGACCGAATTAGATTGTATATTATTAAAATAAAAAAAAATAAAAAAATATTCAACATAAATGAAAGTACATACTTGTTGAACGTCAAAAAGAACTACCGCCAATTCACAAGAACTAGCCTCCGTCCTGAGAAGAACTGGCAAGAAACTCAGCGGGCATGTCTTTTATTTTTAAATATTAGATTTTTTTTTAATATTAATTTTCACAATGAGTTTTTTTTTATTTATTTTTATTGCTTATATGGGTGGACGAGCTCACAGCCCACCCGGTGTTAAGTGGTTACTGGAGCCCATAGACATCTACAACGTAAACGCGCCACCCACCTCGAGATATAAGTTCTAAGGTCTCAGTATAGTTACAACCACGGTTACAACGGCTACCCCACCCTTCGAACCGAAACGCACTACTGCTTCACGGCGGAAATAGGCGGGGTGGTGGTAACTACCCGTGCGGACTCCCAAGAGGTCCTACCACCAGTGATTACGCAAATTATAATTTTGCGGGTTTGATTTTTATTACACTATGTTATTCTTTCACCGTGGAAGTCAATCGTGAACATTTGTTGAGTACGTATTTCATTAGAAAAATTGGTACCCGCCTGCGGGATTCGAACACCGGTGCATCGCTACACACGAATGCACCGGACGTCTTATCCTTTAGGCCACGACGACAAAAGTAGTATTATAATGTAACAATTATTGCTATATTGAAATGCCCGGAGCAACTCATTCCCACTTTGTGCAATCTTCTAGATAATCATTGACATTATAGTAAGCTTTATTGCACAGATGTTCTTTAATAATTCCGTTTAATTCCAAGTTATTGTACGTCCGACTGTAGTCACATTTTTGTTTTTATATTCTATTTCAATTGCGTGCGAACGTGTTAGCAGAGCTCAGGAGAATTTGCTGACACTAGCATCTAGCAAAATCAGTGCTTCGCTATCGTCCAATAGGAATCGCAACCATATCTGTTTTTAACATGTTGTAACTAATAGCAGTGTAAGCTATTTCGTAAAATACTCTCGTAAATCATATCAGTTACATCAATCTACACAATTAATTTTCGTTTGCAGTAAAAGTTAACACGCCACCTACGAGTTTACGGAACTAAATGTTAAAAAACATCGCATCACTCGTGAAGTTAAACGCACGCACGGCTGCGTCCAAGTCAAACAATATTTAATTTTGAATCATTGAACATTCTAAATTAAAACAACAAAAAAAAAAAACTTTGTAATTTCGTATCGATAGGCAATCTAACGTAACCGTACGTGTAACAAAACACAATTGTGTAAGTTAATTTATGATTGACACATTAAAAAAATAATCAAAAACAGAACTGCAAGTGGAAATCGGTGAGAAATAAAATGAATAATAAATTATGCGCATAATAAAGTGCTCGTGATTCTCAAGTGTGTGCAAAATGGCGACCTGGATTTGGTTGGCGGCATTGTTCTGTGGGACGCACGCCGCAGTGCTACCACCACCGTGGGCGGACGTCAGAAGGAATCCCTGCGCCGCTCATCCGAGAGGTTGGCTTATGTTATACTGGCCGATCGATGGAAAATGCTATACAATTTATCAGGTCTGTATGTTCTGTATTTCGAAAACAAATTGCTACAACTCAGATTTCTTTTATTTATTTATTGTATTTATTGTATGGGTGGACGAACTCACAGCCCACTTGGTGTTAAGTGGTTACCGGTGCCCATAGACATCTACAACGTAAATACCGCACCCACCTTAAGATATGAGTTCTAAGGTCTCAGTGTAGTTACAACGGCTGCCACACCCTTCAAACCGAAACGCATTACTGCTTCACGACAGATATAGGCCGGATGGTGGTATCTACCTGTGCGGACTCACGCGAGGTCCTAAAACCCCCAGATCAATTATTAATACTTTTCATATCTTTGTATTATATGAATTTATTGTGTAACGTTATTTATGGATACAACGTTATAATTGTATAAAATTGTATGTAACGGAATCATTAAATGTTATTTTCTCTGACTTCGAAACGTTCGATTAACTTGAATATTTGCATCAAGGATTCAATTGAATCTATCATAATTTATTTAATTTGATTCAATTCAGTCATTCGATTCATTCAATGAAATGAAAAATCAATAACTTTGTAACTCTGCTCTGATATCACGACTAGTATGAACGGGATAAATAAAAAAGTTAAAATTAATTGCTAGTTCGGTTAAGTGGGGCTAACTGCTAAAATACTATTTATTCGTCATCACAACTTTAATGCCATTATCAATGGATTTCAAAATAACTACAATGCTAGCAGATGCCTATCCATTAAGTACATGTATTTTCTACATGGATACCAACTTTCAAGTTAATCGGATGCATGGTTCAGTAGTTAAAACGGAAAATCTGTAAAAAACCACTGTAAATTTATATATTAGAATAGATATACAAGTTAGTGGCGCCCAGCATCGAACCAGAAATTAGTTGTTGGCGATATTACGTACATACAAGCAATGTGTGTCATTTCCGCAATTGCCAAGAAAGATATATTGATAAAATTAAATAAGCTGCAATAGTTTCGGATGGCGACCGAGTGACCTCTAGCGGTATGCTTAATAAGAAATACGAAATCATAATAACGAGTAACCGTTAACCTTTCTAAGAAATGATTCCTATGAAACTGTAATGTTAATTATAATCTGAAGGTTAATGTTCTGTGAACAACTCGAAGAAATTAATTACCATCAGACTTAAACCGGTATCCGATAGGCGTGCTTTATGTACGTGATTCAAGATCGACTCAAGTGCTCCGTAATTAATGTATCATCTAATGTTCAAATAAATTAGGCGACTTGAAAATTATAGGTATAGTTTTACATGTCGTGAATGATTGGTAACAAACGGGTTAAAGCCGATAGATTTTGGCGGACTCCCGGCTCGTCGACTGAGGGAACCAGTGGTCATGTCGCCGGCGGCCAACGGTCCGGCGTCTGTGGGACGGCGGGATGGATGTAATATGCTCTGCGTCAACCCTGTCACAATGTCCCCAACTGGGTTCCAGCCCGGTCAGCGGTCGGGCGCAGGCTGTGTTTTGAGCCCATAGACATGTACAACGTAAATGCGCCACCCACCTTGAGATATAAGTTCTAAGGTCTCAGTATAGTTACAACGGTTTTTGTGCGGCAGTTTTTGGTGATGTTCAACTGATCTGGTGATTTTATCATGTAAAAAAAAGCCGATGGATCTCAAGCCGTGATGAAGATTGCTTTAAATTGTTTAAAATCGGCCTGCGTATTCCATTGACAGTATTCCCAACTCAAGGCCGAGGGTGATGCTGGTTTCTCTAATAATAATTGATTCCCGCCACGCAGCATCCAATTCGGGGTATTTCTTGAGTGCGATCATTCTTTTGTGAAACAGTTTTAAAAGGAATTCTGAATGATAGCAGATACTTATTTGTGCACACAATAATGTTTATGTTCATGAGTGATAATTCAGTATCAGATTGGTTGTGCTTGTCGTTTACTTGGGAAGAAAAAAAAAACTTTGGGCAAAATCTGGAAATTTTGATTCCTTTATTAGCATAGTGACCGAGTAAAGTTGTTTTACATTCATTTTGAAAATAGTAAAAATGTAGTAGAAAAAGATTGGATAGATTTATTTTTTGTGTTATTCAACAAAAACTGTAGAAGGATATTTATCAAAATTATAATATGAAAAAGTTAAATAATATCGTTTTGATTCCTATACAGTGTATTAAAATTGCGTATTATGAGATTCGGATCTGTTCAAAATATAAAGTTTCTAGCTGATCAGGAAGTCTATAAAAAGTCCGTGTAAAAAAGCATTTAAATTTTACTTGAATGCAGTTTTTATTGTTGTTACATTTTAGTAGATGTTGCCGCTTCTATATGTGTTTGAAGATGCTTGCAGTGGCTCAAACAATAAATACCTTCTCGGCCATTACTTAATATGAATAGAGACGAATAAACTATTCCGTGGGAATACTAGCCGACGTATGTCACGTATTACGTAACGTGCTCAGAACCAACTATAGTTAACATGCACTATGCGTTTTGGGAACTTTACTGTGGTATTTGACAAGGTCAATAACATTTACTATTTTCGTTCGGTTTTGTTAGAATACAATTTAAAGAATATTATAATAAGTACATATATAGATCTTAGATACAATATACAGATATGTTCATAATACTAGTGAAACCTAGTCACGTTTCGCTCACTATTCCTAATTGTATGAAAACATAGATTTCTTGAAACTGCTCCCGCGACAAAATGTTATTTATTGCTTATTTGCGTGGACGAGCTCACAGCCCACCAGATGTTAAGTGTTTACTGGAGCCTATAGACATCTACAACGTAAATGCTGCCACCCACCTTGAGACATGAGTTGTAAGGTCTTACTTTGAACAGTACAACGGCTGCTCCGCCCTTCAAACCGAAACGCATTACTGCTTCACGGCAGAAATAGGCAGAGTGGTGGTACCTACCCGTGCGGACTCACAAGACTACCACCAGTAAAAAACACCTGTTGCGCTTTGGTAGAGCTATGAAAAACATGTTTCGTGGAGTGCCAAAAACATTCGTACCAAGTTTCGTCACAATCGGATACAAGGTTTAGGAACGCATTGATGACAAATGAACAAAAAAACTTTAGAGCCAACGATATATTGAGAAGAGCACGGAAGATGGAAGGAAGACGGAAAAGAAGCTCGGATTAGCTTCTGGCTTAAAAAAAACAGCAGCGTATATAAAGAAAAACCAGGAACCCCAACACCCCTGCCCAGAGAGACAGGGAGCCCATAGCCCGAGTAGAGGGGGCTGGTCTTTATTCCCTACCTAGCTCACGGGCTCAACCTGAGAGAATTTGGTAACACTAGCCCTAGCAAGAGCAGTGCATCGCAAAATCTAGCACCGGATCGAAATCGCGATCTACTGAGAAGATCCGGCGAGAAACTCAGTGGACTCGTTAGTCAGAGGACCAAACCGTGCCGAATAAAGGGTCGCCCGAACCCGATGAGAATTTTAAATTAATTTTCAATTTGAATTATCTGTTTATTGACATTATGACTTTTAGTTTCCATAGTTAATCTTACTAATTGATCAGAGCTTCAAATATAGATCTTAAAGTGATCCTAACAAAATCGACTTTGCTTATTATTACGTTATTTCGTATAAGTCGCATCTCACTAATGGCGTTAGAGAAAGCGGTTTTACTACATCATCTAGATGTTGGTGCTTCCACCAGAAATGCTGCTACATCTGCTTGATTTACTTCCTGGTATGCCTGTTAATCATCCGACATCTTATGTAGATGTGGCTTACGTAATTTCCTACAAAATAGATTGGTACTCTTTTGCACTAGATGGGTGGATGATCCCACTACCCGTACGGTGGGTACCAGAGCTTATAGATATCACAACGTGAATGATAAGAGATAAAGTCGAAGTACCTTCTTCGGTTTTCGCGAGTCGTAGAAAAATAATTATAAATTAATTTTTACGGTTTAATCTCACATGTTTCTTAAAGTAGTTATTTTATGGTTTTCCTCGCGAATACTTAATAATTTTCATGGTCACGGATATGGTCAGTCGCAAGCTGAAAAATTAGTTTTAATTAAGTTCAAAATTCTTATTGTGTTCTTTCTAATAGCGGAGGGCCCGACTGGGACATTACAATATCTGCGCGGCTCCCAATATGCCCTACAAGTAAAACAAGTTAAGTTAAACAGTGTTAAGATTAAAAAAAACCGCATAAAATCCTCGTGTTCTGCGTTTTTTAAACATGATCGATTTTTACATCGACAGTGTCAATTAGATCGTTAGGTCACGGTCATTGACGAGTGCACGGCGATGCAACGTAACCCGTCGAACCAGTATGCAATTTTGTTAACAATTCCAAACCAATCAATTTACATCGACGCGTGTTATAACAGTGCCAAAGCGAGTGCTAGCCCATCCGAGATTTTATCAGCTTTACTTTTCTAATAGAAGTGATGGAAAACGTGCGAAATAGCTATTGCTTATCTTGCGAAATATTGAGTTGAATTTTTTTCACCACTTACTACTGGTTAATAAGCAATGTATTTAATTATAAAAAACAAATTGGTGAAACGACAAATTAAAGAAAGAAAGACATATTATACAGTTTTATTCAAACCTCAACCTCAACTCAAACCTGAGAGTCCACCGCGGCAATAGCTTAACTACGTCCCTGTTTTACTGACTTAATTTTGCGTCGGTGACTATTCATCATCAGGTGTCTGACGTTCGTTTGTTTAACTTTTCTTTGTTTAAAATCATTTTTGTGGCCAGTATCGTTGGGTTTAAGACATGCGATCACAACGACCGTGGTCTCAAGACTGAAGAAGGATAAAACGGTTATTTGTTTGAAGTTTCCTGTAAATGAGAAAACTCTGTTCTTGTTGACTGGTAATCAACCGCTGACATTGAGCCGAGCATAATAGTACTATGCAAATGTACTGGAGTCAGAAGCGTAATTTGGGGCAAGGCGGCACATGAGGTTATCGGTTCAAAACTTACTTACCAGAATGTATCTAGTATTTTTTATTATTAAAGATACCTAGTCCGTAGTGTTTAGGGATTGTTGCGCAATGAAATAGGAAAAAGTGATCTGGGAAAAAAAGGATGCTTACTTATTAGTGAATTTGACATTGTCAATGATCTGAGGGTTGCGCCTCTGAATGAGGCGTTTACCTACTCAGCATCATAATAAATAAAGTTACAGTACGTTAATACGAAAAAAACTCATAAGTTAAAAAGTTTTTCAAAGAATCACAGGTCGCATTCGTAATAAAAAAAATTGAAGCTTAATTTTACTCGCACTTAAGGTAAGGGAAATTGTAAAAAGTGTAAAATCAAATCTTAGCATTGATTTAAGCAAATTTAAAACTTATCTTGTTGCAAATTGGAGTGTGATGTGTTGCAGTGATCTTAAATTTGTTTTTATTCGCTTCTTATTGCATTAGACATCTAATGAGCTCATTTATTCTAATGTCCCCACAGATCTACTTAGTTTTAATGACTTAGTTCATGGATATCACAAAATTAATTCCCGTTACACACCTTGCGACGCGATGCCGAAGTTTCAATAGCTAACGACCCACTAAACTATTCTTGAATATCACAAGAACTCTTATAACAAAGGTCAGATTGGTGTGCAGAGGAAAAAAATACGATGAATATTCATGTGAGAATAACAAGTTCGAAATTCAAACGTTATATTATTGTTTCTTTTTTATTGTTAGCGATTTTATGGTCAGATTGTGTATTTGATATGTTTAAGTGTATAATCTGCGCTGCCGTTTTAATTGGTTGATTGATTTAAAGGTCTGGCTACCAGGCCTCAAAATAAAATTAAAAAAACCCTTTTTGGCGCCGAAACGCATGAATAACGAATCTTATTTTGAACGTTAGAGACAGATAATAAGATTAGAAAATGAGAAATTAGATGTACAAGTTGGCCGACTACCATACTGGTGGTAGAACGTATTGCGAACCAGCACGGGTATGTATATCACCCCGATATATCTGCTGTGAAGCAGTAATGCGCTTCGGTTGGAAGGGTTGGGAACGGGGCAGTCATTGTACTATAAAACTTAGAATTCATGTCGTAAGAAGGGTGGCGATATTTACATTGTTGATGTCTATAGTTTCTGGTCACTTAACAACAGGGGTGCCGTGAGCTTGTTCACTTATAAGAAACACATTAAAAGAGATGATGCATAGTCTCATAGACGAATCAAGAGTGAGGTGACCAAGAATTGTGGTTTGCTTAAATAACAATAGGCTTTTGTTTTTCAGAAAGGTCACCCGTGTCCCGAAACCCAGGAACTCAGTCCTGGTCGCTGGGGCGGAAGGACTATAGCAGAATGCAAGTGTCCGCCTGGGACGGCCCAGCTGCCGCATACAACGACATGCCACAAGCTATTCGAACGAGGTCCTTGCAGAGCCGGCGAGTACTTCGCTCCAGTCGAGGAGTCCTTCAACAAGCGAGGGTAGGTAAGCATCACGACGAATATGCTGGTCTTGAATTCTATTTTGTATTGAACTCTATTTTAATAAATAAATAAATGTTATATTCGTGTCTGAAATAATTGTTAGCCCTTAAAGTGCAGTTAGAAAAGAATGATTTGACTGGTTCTTTTTAATAAATAAGAATATGAAATAAATGAAAGTAGTGTATGTGAATCTATACTTATTATTTTTATTTTAATATTATAAAGCTGAAGAGTTTGTTTGTTTGATACGCGCTAATCTCAGGAACTACTGGTTCGATTTGAAAAATTCTTTCAGTGTTAGATAGCCCATTTGTTGAGGAAGGCTATATGCTATATAACGTCACGCTAAGACGAATACAAATGGAGCACCAATAAAGAATGTTGCAAAATCGAGGTTTTTTTCCTTTTTGAGAGCTTCCGTTGCGTGTTAAAGTTTCGCTAAAATAACGCATGAGTGAATTGTTCCCCTTTAAAAGATCTAAAAAAAGTCCGTGACAGCATAGGACTATATGTTAAGGTCGGCTCACTATAACGTTTTTTATGCTAACCAAATTTGTTCTAACATAAAGTATTATTTGTGAAGGTGTTTTTATGAAGATGATATTAATCCCTATCCAAATAAATACGTTATTCATTAGAGGCTTTGAAAATTATAGATTTTTCTTGATTTCTCCAGGATCCCATCATCAGATCTTGATGATTACAGGATCATTCGGGAAGTCTACCTTTTCGAACAAAAAAAAGAAAAAAGAATTATCAGAATCGGTTCAAGCATTCTCGAGAAATCGGTGAACATACATAGATAAAAAATTATGGCCGAATTGATAACTTCCTCTTTTGGTGTCGGTTAAAAAGCGTGATATTGGTACCTACCTTAAATAGCTCCTTAACATTCTATTAATCAAAAATATTTTCACTTTCTACGCAAATGAAGGGGCGGGTAAAATTTAGCGTTATGCCAAAGTAGCTACTCCACGCGGACGAAGTTGCGGGCAAAAGCCAGTAATTTAAATTAGTGTAAGATTGTTGTTGAGACATTTTTAGAAGTTTTAATTTAATTTCGCGAACGAACACATTGTTGCCGTGTTTTGAATACATATTAATATAATACATATGTATGTTACAACGCAACGAATATTTAAAAAAATCAAGAGAGCCGATTTGTTTTGTTATATTAACACTACTTTTTTTACAATAGCAATAAAATGTTAACCGATTACTGTTAGGTAAACAAAGGAACGTGAGAGTATATTTCTGCCTCGGGACCTAAGATTGAAATTTCATTGCTGGGCTTAATTCAAATTGATGTCTATCTTTTCAAACTTGGTTCGCGGTAGGTATAAGCAGGGTAGTGGCACAAATATAACCTGTAGGATTTGTATTTTATTGCTTCCAGTGTTGTATACAAAAGGGTCCGTGCGGGTAGGTACCACCATCCTGCCTATTTCTGCCGTGAAGCAGTAATGCGGGGTGGGGCAGCCGTTGTAACTATACTTGAGACCTTTAGAACTTAAATCTCAAGGTGGGTGGCGCATTTACGTTGTAGATGTCTATGGGCTCCAGTAACCACTTAACACCAGGAGGGCTTTGAGCTCGTCCACCCATAAAAAATGCGTGAAATAATCTTATGCGTTTCGTAGGCAAAAATGTAAATTCGCAGAGTTACGAACGTCGATTTCGGTTTTAGGGTTAAGAGTCTGCGATTACCTAAACATTATGTTTATAATAATATGAATATATTTACATATAAATTGCGGATTTTCATTTATTATTTATTATATGTGTCGATATGAGCTATAATTAAAAATAAAAATGTTCAACGATAGTCTCGTTTGAAAGCTAAATCAATTTGCATAGTCGGTTTCGGATTTACGAGATGCTTTGTATGGACTATGAACATCTTTATCGCGTGTTATGTTGTAAGCAGCTTACATGTTTTGGTGTCAATAAAAAAAAAAAACTTCAAAGGTGTCAAGGGACACCCGGATGGAACGAAGTTCCTTTCGATTAATTAGTGAAGGAATTGTAATTTTTTTTAAAGTTATAATAATAAATTACAGCATTATGAAGAAGAAAAAAACAATACTATGAACTAAATTACTATTGTTGAAACGCTATCTCGAGAAACTGTACTCATTACGCGGACCAATCGGATACGAGCAATGTCACGCGATAAGCGCCTACACGTTGATTGGTCAGAATGACGGACCTAAAAAGTGTCGTGACAACTTTTCGTAAGAATTTTTTCCGTCTAGCCCCCTTTCACAACGCGCGATAAGGAACTTCGTTCCAAAAAACAGCCTAACGATTAATACTGTACTGATTGCTGTTTCGTTAGTCTGTGGCGATATTCGTGTAGGAAATATTCGAACAACAAAATTGTTAAAACTGGGTCGAAACTTGAGTTTGAGTGGTATGCGTGTCATGACCGTCGCATCCTTTTGGATCGAGAAAGCATTAAGCCTCACTTCCGTTTTCCTTTTTCGATTAGATTGTATTTTCTTTAAGTAAGTGTTGGTATAGTTTCACAAATAAATTACGGCAGTTGTTTTCCTGCTTAGACCAGTTAAGGGCGCAACTTGTGTTATGAGTCCACTGGCATCGATAATGAAATTGCCGCTACCTACGTTGAGATATAAGTTCTAAGTCCCAGTTCCATAGTGCAATGACTGTCCCACCTTTCAAACGAAAATGTATTACTGCTTCGCGACAATTGCCGCGGCATGGTGGTATCTACTCGTGCGGGCTCAACGCACGCGCTAACATCAGTAATGACGAATATTTTATGTTTGTTTTGAACTTCTACTTATGTTTGGAATCGCTTTGTTTTCTGTGTAACGAAAGTAATGAAACAGGAAGAGTCATGTGTCAAAATTATATTTTATTCAAATAAATAACTAATCGCAAATTGTTTTACTGATACTGAACACTAAAACTCGTCAATAGCAAGTAAACGAAAAAAAAGGAAAAAAATCGGTTGAGAAATAAAGAAGTAGATTGTATTTAGCCGTTTTGTTTTTGCCTATTAATAGTAAGAATTAAGATAGAGAGACATAGTTCACGCGATGTTAAAGGGGTTCAGATATCAAAAGTTGATTACAAAATTGAAATCTCGCCTGGATTGGTACGATGGTTATCTTTTTTTTCAGCAAAAATAGCCAACACGCCTTATTTTCAGTGCTAAAGTCAGGAACTTGGAACTTTGAAATCATTTGGTAACAATTATCAGTAGTTCGAAGCCGTGTAACTGAATGCTCGAATAAATATCCATTCGAAATCTTTATATTATTCATAAATCTTATATTTTTTTAGCCGACTGTACGTTGTATATATAATCTTCGATTATTGTGACTAGTAGACATAATTGACAATACTTTTACGGTTTAATGCCGCGATTTGTCAGATAAGACGTCTGGTGCATTCGTATGTAGCGATGCATCGGTGTTCGAATCTCGCAGGCGGGTACCAATGTTTCTAATGAAATACGTACTCAACAAATGTTCACGATTGACTTCCACGGTGAAGGAATAACATCGTGTAATTAAAATCAAACCTGCAAAATTATAATAGGCGTAATTACTGGTGGTAGGACCTCTTGTGAGTCCGCGCGGGTAGATACCACCACCCTGCCTATTTCTGCCGTGAAGTAGTAATGCGTTTCGGTTTGAAGGGTGGGGCAGCCGCTGTAACTATCTTGAGACCTTAGAGCTTATATCTCAAGGTGGGTGGTGCACTTACGTTGTAGATATCTATGGGCTCCAGTAACCACTTAACACCAGGTGGGCTGTGAGCTCGTCCACTCATCTAAGCAATAAAAAAAAACGTCGTTCTTGTAACACTACTACAAAATTGTAAACTACTCGAGACGACGCGACGCTTCGGAAATAAACGCGTAGTTAAATCGTAAAAGTATTTTTAATTATTAATGTACATAATATATTTATATGTTCCAGTGAACGCCAAGGTATGTGCGTGAGGCCGCAGCAGTGCGCCGACGAAACCTTGCTGTACTGGCCCGCTGATGGGAAGTGCTATTACAGGCTCAGTCAGGGCCCTTGTTACCCAGGTGCCATATTGGATATCGGAGACGATGGACTGGCGAACTGTACGGTGAGTTTTTGCATTGGGTAATTACGTAAACGACTGGTTTGTTAAGACTAGAAGCGTATCCGAGGAATGTAATGCAATGTTATTTGTTCTATTACTGATGGTAGGACCTCTTGTGAGTCCGCGCGGGTAGGCACCACCACCCTGCCTATTTCTGCCGTGAAGCAGTAATGCGTTTCGGTTTGAAGGGTGGGGCAGCCGTTGTATTGATAAACAAAACAGGTTTTCATATAGTTGCACCCAATGACTTCCCTGAATAGGTTAATGTAAAACGTGTGATGAATTAAATTTATTCAAATTGCACGAACTTCATCACTAATCATTATTAATGCTAACAAGAATTTTCGATTAGATTACAACGCAAAAACGTGCTTAAAATGTGTTAATATGACAAATAACGTGACGACGCTATTGTAATGACGTCTTTGTTCGACGACTTTGTTTTTTTTAATGCTTACATGGCTGGACGAGCTCATAGCCCACCTGGTGTTAAGTGGTTACTGGAACCCATAGACATCTACAACGTAAATGCACCACTCACCTTGAGATATAGACCTTAGGCCTTAGACCTTAAGCCTTAGACCTTAGTTATAGTTACATCTAAAAATTCAAGCAAATTTAAAAACAGTTTTTGGTTTTTTTACTTGATTTTTTTTTTCCATTACCTATCCTGATAGCCTTGCGGCTATTTCAGCTTCTCCTTAACGTGTAGGTGAGCTCACGGGGCTCTAACCGGCAGTGTTGCTAACGCGGAAACGCGACCCACTGAGAAGATCCGGCGAGAAACTCAGTGGGCTGTGTCTATGGGTATAATTCGCTCGTCGAGCCCTTCATCGCAAGCGACGGGCTTGGCGAGAACACCCTTAATGGATTGGGAGTGAAATCCTTAAAAAAACAATAATTTTTTAACGTTATTTTATTGAAATTCCAGTGTGATCCGGATAGTAGAAACTTCTGGCCGCTAGACGGAGGTTGCTATGCGCATTTCACCCGGGGACCCTGTGACAAGGGCCTGTTGTATCTGCCGGGACCAAGATGTGGCTGCGAGAGCCATATGCCGCATTATCACAACGAGACCGGGGGGTGTTATGAACTGGGTACGTAAAATGCCAGTAGGCTATGTATGTAAAAGAGGAGGTCGTTACAAAAGCTTCAACAATTATAAACTACCTTAAGTTTTTCATTATTAACTGGTGATAGGACCTCTAGTGAGTCCGCATGGGTAGGTACCACCACGCTGCCATATGGAATGGAAACCAATTAAAAACAGAAGAAATGCAAAGTGTGTCCGGTGGAAAATCTAAGACGAAACGTTTTTGGTTTTTTTATTGTATTTATGGATGGACGAGCTCACGGCCCACCTGATATTAAGTGGTTACCGGAGCCCATAGACATCTACAACGTAAATCCCGCCACCCACCTTGAGATATGAGTTCTAAGATCTCAGTATATTACAACAGCTGCCCCGCCCTTCAAATTGAAACACATTGCTGCTTCCTGGCAGAAATAGGCAGGGTGGTAACACCAGTAATTACACAAATTATAATTTTACGGGTTTGATTTTTATTACACGATGTACGTATTTCATTAGAAAAATTGGTACCCGCCTGGGTTTCGAACACCGGGGCATCGCTCAACATGAATGCACCGGACGTCTTATCCTTTAGGCCACGAGGACTTCATTACACAAGTTTTTGTCCGACATGGACAACCCTCGGCGTAACAGTCAGGACCGTTAATTATAACACCACTGAGTCAGTCATTTAAAGGTGCTTTATAATGGTTCTTCAGATTCCGTCGGCCCGTGTCCTCGAGGCCACACCTTCAGGATAACACAAGTGACAGCCCAAGGATCTAAAGCGGAGTGTAAATGTAAATCGTTCCACGCTAGAGCCGCTGACGGAGCTTGCTACAGACTCTACACCAGGGGACCTTGCGAACAGGATGAAATGATAGCGCGAGGGGGGCGATGTATCAAGGTAATAAATACTGTTACGCACTGGGGTTCGGGATAAATATGGATAAAAATTCTATCGAAGTAGAAATTAAAACTGTATTAGGACTTAGAACACTTAGCGAACACTTCAAGGTTCTCAACTCACTTCTTCCGCTTCGCTTCTGGTGATCCGTTCGCTGTTTCGCTTCGAGTAGTTCAGATTATTAACGCTTTTATAGTTTATACGATATCCCTAGATTTATCGAGAATATTCTTGGTAAGTCGAGTAGCTTCGATGTGTGTTCCTGCTATCTGACAATAGATGGCGTTGTACTACTCGATTTTGCTAGTACCTTTGATATTCGTTTCTGCTATTCGGCGATAAACGGCGTTACCCTTACCGGCATAACAATATTATAATACGATAGTCTGATATTCGAATAGGAGTTGCTTGGCAATGTTGTTGCTCTGGAGCAATTGTGACAATTGACTGCTAAGTGGGTATGCTCATATATGTATTTACTATATGATATATGTCCTCTTCGTGCCTCTATATGTATTTTTATCGGTTTGATAGGTTGACTAACCCAGAGATTACCTAGTGTTGGATGGTTGCTGAAGCCCACAGACATCATCAAAGTAACGCATTACTGTTTCTCGACAGAAATAGGCAGAGTGATGGTACCTACTTGAGCGGGTTTACAAGACGACCCAGACCAGCAGTGATAGACTTTGTGACAGTTATTATTTTCGGTTTGAATACAGGCGCCATACAATAGAATTGTCGTTATAACTCATGATGCCATCATCATTACGAGTGATGGCGACAGTCACAACGTGACGTCCATTGGATCCGCTACCTATCCAACCTCGGCCGGATTCATCGTGTCTCCCAACATGCACAACGTACATTGCAGGTTCCGTGTGCGAGAGGTCGGCTGTACGTCCCAGAGAGGCGTCGATGCTACCGGCCCGGCACGCCCGAGCCGTGTCCGGTCGGGGAGGTCGTCGCGTTCGACTTCGACGCCAGACCAGCGCTGGACGGGCTCAGCCATAACGGAGTTTGCGTCTGCGGCAGCGGGTCTTGTAACAGAAAAGAGGTATGTCGGTATGTCTCTATTGTTACTTGTAAGCAGACGAGCATACCGTATATAATATTCTCCGTTTGTCAACCGTTGGTTTTATAGTAGGTATTTTACGATCTTCAGCTTCATCTCAAAAAAAAAAAACAGTAAAAAAATGTTGTTCAATAAATAAATTTAAATCTTGATGCGTCAGTAATTAAGGCCTAAATAAAAAAAAATAAAGCAATTGGTTAGCGTCGCTCATGGATGTCAGCACTGCCGCTGCCTACCACTGAGCACTGTCCGCAACGGTACACGCTAATTTTGATTACTTACCGCGTAATCCTACTTTATCCTGCTCCTACCACTATTAAATGTCCTTCTCCTTGCGTCGTTGCGGTTTGAAGGGTGGGGCAGCCGTTGTGACAATACTGAGACCTTAGAACTATATCTCAAGGTGTGTGGCGCATTTACGTTGTAGATGTCTATGGGCTCCAGTAACCACTTAACACCAGGTGGGCTGTGAGCTCGTCCACACATCGAAGCAATAAAAAAAATTATCGTATTCCTCACTGCTGAGGGCCATGACCACCCTTTTGTATCACCTTCGCGCGCACGATCTTTTTCCATATATTCTTGTCTCTGGCGGTGTGTGATGTGAAATATGGAATCAAGAGCGGTGCGGATCTGGTCGGATCAACGTATTGGGCTACGCCCCCGAGGTCCTTTCCCATCTACCTTACCGGCAACGTTGAGCCTCTCGAGATTGCTATCATCCCTCCGTGCAATGTGACCGAAGTACTCAAGGACTCTGCGAAGACACTCGGATGACTTTATCGGATCAGATTAGATTTAATCTTAGCTATTTTTATTGTCTTCTTAGTTGGCAGCTCTATGACTTAAAATATATATAATCTTAATCTTAACACGATAAAATTGTAAACAAATCGAATAGTTAACGTTTAACATGAGGCGCAATGTAAGACGGTTATATAAGTAGCAGGGGCGCGAGGGGTAGGGGTCAGCGCCCTCGGGTGATACGGGCGGGGGGCGTGCGTCCGCTACATACGCTTTCGATTGCGGGCTCATGAAATTAATGAAATATTTATGGCTGTGAAATTTTCTATATTAACAAAAATTATCTCGCATAATTATAATTTGCGTAATTACTGGTGGTAGGACCTCTTGTGAGTCCGCGCGGGTAGGTACCACCGTCCTGCCTATTTCTGCCGTGAAGCAGTAATGCGTTTCGGTTTGAACGGCGGGGCAGCCGTTGTACTTTAAAAACTGTGACATTAGAGCTCATATCACAAGGTAGGAAGCGGCATTTAAGTTGTTTATGTCTATGGGCTCTGGTAATCACTTAAAATTAGGTGGGCCGTGAGCTCGTCCATCTGATTAAATCCATAAATATCTGGTCCTTAATCCTTATCCTTAATCCTTATATGATTAGGGAATTTATATTGTTATGCAGGTCGAAGCGTGTACCGCCCGCAAAGGGACCGCTGCGTATGGCGGCGCTTGTCACATCCTCAACACTCAAGGTCCCTGCCCGGACGGATCCTGGCTCGTCAAGGAAGGAACCGGGAAAGTCAAGTGTCAATGTCGCCCTGGTCGTGTCCCTCCGGAGTGTAACGGAGACATCGACCCTCAAGCTAAGAGCTGACACGCATCGAGGACGAGGTGTGCGAATTGATCTCCAATTTAACATTTAAGTTTGAGCACAAAAATTAGGCTGAACTGGAAAAGGTTTAATCGAATTTATCAAATTCGAAAATTTCTACTTTTCGTAGTTATGCCCTTTTCCACAATAGGGCGCAATATGCGACTTCTTAAATTTAAGACTAGCTTTTGCCTGCGACTACGTCCGCGTGGAATATTTACTTTGGCATAACTCTAAATTTTACTACCCACTTCATTTACGTAGAAAGTGAAAATATTTTTGAATTGTAGAATGTTAAGGAGCTATTTAAATTCTTATTTTGAAACATTCTTTATTGTTCTCCACTTGTATTGGTCTTACCGTGATTGTATATAGCCTATAGCCTTCCTTAATAAACGGGCTATCTAACACTGAAAGAATCACTAAAATCGAATCAGTAGTTTCTGGAATTAGCGCGTTCAAACAAACAAACTCTTCAGCTTTATAATATTAGTATAGATTTACCGGCTTCAAAGCTTAATTTTTCACTCGGTTGGTTTTCAGGATCGCGTTTTTAAAATTTTCGCGTTTTGAAACAATTATGAAAACTGACTTTGGAGTGACCATTATGAATAAAACTAGTATAGTTTGATAGTAAATTTTATTGATAATCTAACGAGGATTTTCATATGACTATGTACTGACTACTAATGTCAGTACATAGTCATATGTACATAGTCATATACATACATAGTCAGTACATAGTCATATACTGTATGACTACTAATGTACTTCATTAATTTGCCATAATGGATTTATTGTATTTGTTTGATTTTTAAAATATGAGGGTAGATTGAACTCTTGAGTTATTCTGTCAGAAAGGGACCGTTTGCTTATAATGGACGTGTATTTATAGCATTTCACTCTTGAAGAGGCACACGCATAAATGGAGCATTTTCCCTTGCCTTTTGCCGAACATTTCCCTTAAGAGACTACGCAATTTGTGTACTTAATACCGTCAATTGATATTCCATAAAATAGACATGTGATTTTAGTAGAGTATTTATTATTATTTTATTATTAAATAAAACGAAAATATTATAATAGATAAGTAAATAAAATAAAAGACAAATATATAAAAAAAATCGTTTTATTTAAATCACTCGTTTCATTATAATTACATCCTTAAACATTAAAAGTATAAAAGTAGTCAAAGTTACGAACTAATTAGATACGTGATGCTTTTTGGCTTATCTCCTACATTGTAATACAGTTCTTGTGTGTCTCATTTAGTCTCAATTTTCTTTTAATTTCGTCTGTGATTTCCCTGTAAAAGAAGACATGGTATATATAAGTAAGAATGAATAAATAAACCGTCAAATATTGTAATGTGTACTGCCGTCTTGGGACTCAAACATGACTCAATTGACTCACAACGTCTGATAAATACCTAGTCAGGTCATAAATTCTGTCACATGTTTAATGTAAAATAATTGAAACAAGTTTATTCATTATGTAACCATTCATATACCGAAATGAACTTAACAAAACATAGATTCTTATGACACTAAAGTTTATTCAAAATGACCTCCGTGATTTTGAATACAGGCCTTCAATCTGCGCGGCCAGTCGTCTATCGCAGCACGAACGAGGTCCATGTCAATATCGGCGGCTGCCTTAATCAAGGATGTCTTGAGTGACTCCAAATTGGGATGAGGCTTTGAGCACG